CACATTATCAGTAATAGATAGTAATAATGAATTAATGGCCTATCGCTGCATTTTAGCATGTGTGGTGCGTTTAGAGCTCGGACACAGGATTCGACTTGAATAGGAAACATTAATCCTTCTTCTCTACCCTGCACCCCCACCATGTGCTTCGACACTCTTGACATTTGCAAAGGTTGAAAGACAAAGTACCTTTGTCTCCTAATAAGGGCGCAGGCCCTGCACCTGAATGAGAATTCTTTTGAGGCAGACCACATGCTTCTGGTAGATGGGATCAGGAAAAGGTTTTTGGAGGGAAGTAAGAGGGCCAATGGAAATGGTAGTGTTCAGCGGATGGAGGTTTAACTTCTCCGTCCATTTGGTCTTCACTGGTAGAGCATCAAATTCAAAAGGTATACTTCAATGGTGACAGGAAGACACGTTATGTCTGGGAATGCAATGGAAAATTCAGGTTTTTCACGCACATTTCAGATCTCTGCATTGAATCCAGTCAAACTCCAGTCATTAGTGTTACACCAGTCCCAAAAGAGGACCCATCTCATAGTAAGTGACTTAGGCTGATCCAGATGTTTACACTCGCTTCACTCACAGGAGCACCCACGTTTAAAAGGGAGCTACTAAACTGTAAATTTGACTGTAACACAATCCGGGCACATGTGGAACCTTCCGGCATCGCCCAGTAGCAGCTCTGTCAGTGTCACTGAGCAATAAAACACAGCCTTCCCAAAACTCTGCGTGACACATTCTTTCGGGAAAAAAAGCCTTTTACGAGAGTAGTGCATTACAATCAAGGTCATTCTGGTTTGGTTTTTTTTTTCCCCTTCTCCCAGGTGTGTTCCTCTGAGTAATAAATCAAAGAGAAACACTGTTTATAAAAGTGAGACAGATTGTTTGTTTAAGGACCTAAAGGGGGCGGAGATAGTTGAGCTTAGAACTCAAATGGATTCTAAACTCACAGACCACCTCACAAAATAGGAACCAGGTGTTGTTATTAGTAAAATTACTGTGTGTCATGAACATTCATGAATTCATTTGGACTTAGGACCGGACAGTCATCTGGACCTTCGCATTGTCTTTTTGGGGCTTATCTCTGTGGGTTAAGAGACGGGAGATGCAGGGCACATGAGAAGTGCCCTTGACATCCTAATCAAGGTGTCAAACGGAAAGACCTTCTCTATTCTGTCTGCCATTCTGAGGTTTCCCAAAGGTTCTTGTGGATTTCTGACATCCATGTGTGATGAATGCTGCGAGGGACCATGACCATGCCAGATATTAGTACCCTTTAATAAATTTCCAAGCACCAAAAGCTCTTTCTCAGGAGAATTTTCTGGTGCAGATTGCCTCAAAGACGGACGAGCACCCACTGACGGCCTGGATGGAGCGTGTCAGTCACAGCGCCTTGCTGTGTCACCTTTAATCACGCATGTCTATCCCCGCGGCCTCCCGTCATCCTCTTGTCCATTGGTGTAACAGTACAGAAGCCATGTGAGGCATCCTTAAAAAATCAGCATGGTTTCTTAATGTGCGATAATATTTGCCAAATCATACATGAAATGGGGTTTTCAAGGAGCAACAAAGGATGGGAGATAAGTGTAAAGATCTGATTCTAAATGAACGCTTATATAACACTAATGTTATGGAAGAAATGAGGCTTTGAAAGTAGTGGGCAGAATTATGTTACACTTTCAGTTGCTGTCTTTGATGTGATCCAGTAAAGCAACCAGTGGAGAGAAGGTTAAACCTCTCATTGATTGACTAGTTTTTTCCAGAATCTACCAATAGGCATCCTTAAAACACAGATGTCCGTTCAGGGATCTACACAACGGAAATTTCTGTCAGGCATGATGAGGAACGCATAAAATGAAACATAGTGTCCCGTGGCCACATGCCGATGGTGATCTGAAAGCACCTCCCTGCCAGACATCACCTGACAGCCATTGTGATTAAGCCCAGAAGACACAAATCCTTCGACGGCAGCCAGGTCACTTTACAGGACAGAATTAGAGCGCCTTTGAGTTATTTTCTATAATATTTTTATTAACCTCGGCGTATTTTGCTGTGACCTTTTGTTCATGGATTATAAGGAGGAGCCAATTGTTTTCCAATATGGCAGAAACGAGAGCCAATATTAGCTGAAGCAGACTGTTGGTTCATCTATGAGCAGGGTTGCCAAGGAAACATTGTATAAGGAATGCATGGAGGATGCCCTTGCTAGAGTGATGGTACACTGGACCGATGAGATCTTTCCAGTTGTACACTTTCTGTATTCTTTCACATTCTCGTGATCTCTGCTCAGAGTGTTTGTTCGTGGTGGGGGGGGGGTGCAGGAATGAGGACAGCAGAGGTAACTCGGGACCAAACTAGGTGAGGGGGCTGCCAGTGACTCTCAGGAGTCAGAGACCTCCTTATGGGGCAAGCTGCATGGGGTACTCTCCCTGGGGGGGGCACTGTTACCTCACAGCTCTGCTCCTTCAAGTAAATAGTGCAAGACATCCTTCCAATAGCCTTGTGCATGTGAAGACATTTTATAACGTGTCATCAGTTATATTCCCTGGTGAAAACACACGCTTGGGTTATTCCAGACCCAGATGTAGTCATTTATGTGTTGAAATTTATATCAGTAGAAAACTGTTTCCTAATTATGTAACAGTTTCTGTATGCACTATTAATGTAGGACATGCAGCATGTAAATATGCTAATTCATTTGTAGAAATAAATACGTTTGCCCTGTGTGTGTCATCACATAACAAAAATGTATGAGTAAAAAAAAAGAATAGAAAAAAAACTGAAATAAATCAGATCTTGAGAAAATGTTCTATTTTCATCCACATGTTTAACTTGCTTCTTTGCCATCTGGTGTTTCACTGGAGGTAAATCGCAATATTGTGCTGATTGAAGCTGTGACTGTATTGCTGGAGTGTTGTCCTAAGTTTGGGACACGCAAGCTCATGACAGAGTAGCCCAAGTCTGCCGATGAGTGTAGTGGACTAATGGGGCTGAGCTCAGGAGTAACGCAGCATGGCAGCGTGGCGCACGAGCTTCTTGCTTGAGTCACTGAGTGGAAGGCCGGTGGTTTTATTTTTATATGTCCCCAAATAATCTGAATCAAAATTAGATGAGTGTGGTCATTATAGCAATAGTGTAGTAATGGAACGGTAAGTATGATAAAGTTTGGATGAATATGATAATAGTAAAAGTATTAGTAAAAATTACTAATAACGTGGCCTTAAGTAAAGTATTACCAAAAAGTATAGTCAAGATAAGATTAATATGAACGGATGAATATGGCAATGGTACTGTTAGTATAGAATATAGTATAGTATAGTAAATGTGATTAGTATACTAATAGTAAGAAAACTATAATAAAGGTAAGATGAATGTGCAAAGAAAAGTGTAATTAAGGAGATGAGTATGATATGATGAATATGCTCATGGAAGGATGAGTGTGGTGAAGGCAGCATGAGTATGACTATATGAGATGGACATGATGTGTTAACAATGGTAACGGTAAGGAAACTGTGATAAAGATACAATGAGCATGGTGATTGCTTGGGAAGTCTGCTACATTGAGCCTGCAATATCTTAAAATACAGCCTTGGCCTCAAGACAACTGTCCCCTGCTTCAAGACAGGAAGGCCAATGGACAGCAGCAGCAGATCTCACTCAACAAGAACCAGAACTGAACGTGACTTCTCTAGCTGCTGGTTTTTGTACTAATTGAACTTGTGTAAGATTAAGGCAGAAATTAAGACTGAGTTTACTGATCCAGCAGGGAAATTCTGGATTATAGTTGGCATGTTGGTTGACTGTAGACCCCCAATATAACCCAAGGTGTCTTTGCTTCTTACTTCTATTCCTTTTGGATTGTGCTGTATGTATGTACAGCCATGGAAAAAAATGTAATAGACCACTATATTTTTAAACAAATATGCATTTTTAAATCCTGCTTTAATCGTGGTTCTGCTGGCCAGAAGTGGGGACTCGAGTCACTGACTTGCAACTCGACTCAGAATCAAGTCACTTGTGACTCAGCAAAACCGATGGAAAGACTTGGACTCAACTTGGACTTGAGGGCAAATGACTCGAGACTTGGACCCTATGACTTGAGAAGACTTGAGGTTATAGTCCCCCCTTTGCCATGACATTAACTTATAATTTCAGTGTGCAGTATATCTCAATAAAAACTAATGCCAGAGATGACTGTTAACTTATCTGACAGTTTCTCATGAATCGATCGTAGGATAACATCAAGTGACCTTCAAAAGGAATGGGAAACATTAAGTGCAGGTGTGAAGTGCACTGCTAGGACAGTTCGTATCAGGCTCCTAGAAGCAGGACTGAAGTCCATAAAGCAAGGAAGAAGCAGGGAAGGGCCAGGCTGCAGTTTGAAAAAATAAAATAAAATTCATGGGAGCACACCCATAAATTGAGAAATGAGTGAAACAAAAAATGCTGTGGTCTCTTAATTTTTCCCGCGGTTGTATGTATACAGCATGCATAGGTAAAGTGAGCCATTCTTTCAGTGCAGATTTATTCATGAAGGACATTGATCTATTGGTAAGAGGCGAAGGTGCTGCAGTTTAATAAAACACCTTGCATTTTGATGTTTGTAGATGTTTGTGCTGCCATCTGGCTTTCATTAAGTAGTAGGTATCTCTGCTTTGGCTCTCAAACATAAATATGCAAAGGAACACTAACACCTATATGTGGCTTCCAGAAGAATTTCACCCATGTATGTAGTTGGAGGCCAATCTTCTAATGCCAACATCAGGCCCACAGTGGTTTGATTGTCTACTCAAGGCAAGTGCGTTGGCCTGCTTAATAGGGCACAACTCTGTCAAGGTGTCCACTTCCAAAGAGTATTTTTCTGGTTTGTAATGCTTAGTTTGGCATGCCTGATTGATCCTTGGCGCCGTGAGCAGGAGCGATAATTTCCGTGGTGGAAAAAAAAAACATCGCAGGGAATTGCTGTTTACAGCAGGTGTGACTGATGTTTCTTACAGGTGCAGACCTCAGTGGACTTCTGGACCTGGAGACGCTGTACCAAGGGGTGGAGCAGAACCTGAACCAGAGCCGGAGGGCCCGTCGCCAGACAGTCGACCGGGCCTACAACATCGAGGTCCTGCTGGGTGTCGATGACTCAGTGGTACAGTTCCACGGGAAGGAGAATGTGCAGAAATACCTGCTCACCCTCATGAACATCGTGAGTGTCCCAAGCCAAGCCCATCCGCTCTGTCACCCACCCAAAGTGTCTGAAGTACATAGAAGTACCCGTCCACCCTCAGCTTTGTGAGTGTCCCACAGCCACCCTCCAAGTCGAAGTACACAAGCATGTTAGGCAATTGAGCCAAGGCTTGTTCCATGTTCATAATGAAAAGACATCAGTGGGTGCAACCATTTGATATATCTCTATCTTCACGTATTTGAGGTCTTTGCTTTGGTGTTTGGCACCAATATCAAAACATCCCTTCCCTAATTGACTCTCTCCTTTTCATTTTTTGTTTACTATTTGGGTAAATTCCAAAATGCCGGGCTGAGGCGTAGATGTACTCACATTTAATATCCGACTTCCCAGCCGCACACACATCCGTTCGCGCACACCGGCACGTAGGGAGACAGTGGCTATCCATCAATCGACGTGGGATAAAATGGCTGTAAAGGCCTGCGGGGGGCAGGTGCGCAGGATCGATGCGCCGTACCTGCCGTGAGCAGGAAAGCAGAGCTTTATAATGAATACTGCATCAAAGAGGGCCTTGACACAGGCAGGGGCGAGCTGCCGTGATTACAGATGAGCAAAGCTCCGCGGAGCTCCTGCCAGCCAGAACATCTCCGGCAGAACATCTTGGATCGTACCATTTTCCCGCTGATAGGTGAAGCTGGCAGGGCGGGGGGAGTTGGGTTTGACTGGTTGAGATGGTGGCAAAATTTGATAAGAGCCAGTGCTCCACCTCTTTTGTTTTTGCATTCCACAGATGAAAATTCTCCCCTGTTTCAGAAGTACACAGTCTAGCAGACAAAAGATTGACAGTGGTGTTTGTGGGTCCATGCCAGCAGAGGCTTCCTGAGTGCGTGACCCGTCGTGCGCGTGAGGCCGGGATAAGTGAGGGGGGGAATGTGACGGGCAGCTGGCTGGGGATTGGCTTAAAGGAAACCAAACAGATATACTGAGGCCTCCATTTGGGCTGGGGGGGTAAGCGACAGTTGAAAGGCAGGGCTGATGCTCCCCTTTTCGGGCTGGGGATTGGCGGTCCTGAGGCCATGAATCACCACTGCATGAGAATGAGGGGCCCTTGTCCGACATCTCTTTGTGTCTTAGTACAGCATTGGTGCTGAATCTAACCATTGCTGTCATTCACGCTCACTGATCCTCAGAAAAGAAGTTTTTTTTTTTTTTTTTTTTTTTTTACAAAAAAAAGCACATTCAGAATAAATTACTGAAAGCTAGATAAACAGAAATATATAACGCCTCCCACGCTCTTCTTTCTAAGTCTTTCTTCTTGAAAGTTTACTTTGCTCGCATTAGGATTAGACTCTTCCTGGAAGGAGAGACAGACAGACTGATTGACAGACAGACAGACACATGGACTGACAGACAGGCAGACAGACAGACTGACTGACAGACAGGAAGACAGCTGACAGACAGGCAGAATACTGACAGACAGACAGGCAGATGGTTGACAGACAGACAGGAAGACAGCTGACAGACAGACAGGCAGATGGTTCACAGACAGACAGGAAGACAGCTGACAGACAGACAGGCAGAAGACTGACAGACAGCAGGTGTGCTTCTGCTTCCTGTTTTTCTGCAATCCTGCAATTTTTGTTCATCAGCTGCTCTTGAAGACAAGGGAAGCTTGGAGCACCGAAAGAGGCACAGCCTCCAGTAGATTTAAACATGAAGCGGGGCTGTAAAGGTGAACCTCTTGAGTTTCTCAGGTTGGGTCTTCCAGAAGGCTGAAGGGCTGGTCTGCTTCACTCGGCTTCCAGATGACCGGGGAAGAGCCCCCTCATCAGGGCCCCGTGGGGGTGTTTCTCCCATGAGGGGGGCACCACGGCAGTCAGGGTGTGGCAATGCAACCAATCTAAAGTGATGCAAGATTCCGGGAGTGCCGAGAGTGACAAGCCCTGCACCCACTCCTGACATCTTCTGTAGTCGTCTTGACTGACGCCTGTCTGTATTTGAGCTCAGAAAGGGCAACATAGTAAAGGTTTAAGCGTTATTTGCTGACCAATCAGAGCTTGTCAAGATTCGTGTCCATGCCACAACCGGGATGTTCGTTGGGATCTGCCTCAGATTTTTTTCTGCTTTTCTTTTGTGTGCTTTGTGATCTTCCACAGAAATACTGAAGTTGCTGCATGGCAAACAACGCATTACTTTACGTAAGAGTGCAGCAGATTTGTTTGAAATTACAGTATAGTGGCTTTAAACAGCGGAATGAGGAACTGAGGTGTCTGTCACATAGAAACACAAGAAATCCGAAATCCTTTTCAAGGATTAATCAGTTGTTTCTGCGGTGTGCTAGGTACTCTGACATGTTTGGAGGGTAGTGTTCTGCACCTCGGCTCAATCCATCACATGTGACAGTGAGAAATCACTGGCCCGTGTCCCCGCCCCCAAGCCCAGTGAGGCAGAGGTCTTAGGCGCAGTGCAGTGACTCACAGCTGAGTGACACAGTGTGACAGGTGCCACCAGCTAAATTAGGTTATGCTCACACACGCCGAGGGACAGATCAGTGTGTCGGACACAGATACACAGTATCCGCCAGACTAATGCTAATGACTGCCGATTTGAGGATGGTAGTTCTCAGCTTGTGCGAGGTGTCATGTGAGATTTATATAAAGACAGACACTTTTTGCAGTCACATAGCTAACACTGTACAGTTGCTAATAGAGTTACGCATTAATGTGGTGATATTTATAAAATGATTTCAGGCGGTTTCATTTTTTTTCTTCTCCATTAGGTTAGGTGTTCAGACGGCTGCCCTTTGAGTGTCTCCATGCCCATAAAGTAGCCACAGAGTAAAGTTGTAGTAACCAGAGTGACAGTGTAGCAGTCAGAGCGTTGGTCTACTAACCCAGAGTAACTGAACAGTAACCAGAGTGACAGTAATCATGGAATTGATGCACTAAGCAGAATAACTGCATGGTAAATGGAGTAAAACAAATAGTCACCAGAATATTAATGTAGTAACAAGAGTAACAGAATAGTAACCAGAAATATAGATTGGGAACCAGGGTATTAGTGTTGTATTCAGCTTTACCGTGTAGTAACTCAGGAACCAGACGAGAGTATCTATAATATTGGTGTAGTAACAGTACAAACCAGGTAGTTCAGCAAGTTGTTGTTTTGGAGATAGTGCTCTGTGCCAGGAGTGAATGCCATGCGTTTTTTTCTGAGTAATGGAGAAGCATCTCTCCATTTCTGTGCCCTTTCTCACTGTCAGGCACGTTATTAAACGACCTGCAAGCAATTGCTGCTGTCACAACGCTTTATTTCGGTTTCCCACACTCAGTCTTGAGCCACACTCCCTCGCTGATCCTCAAGGGGGTCAATGTGGGGTCTCCCTGGGCCGCGTGTGGGCAGCAGGGGGCGGCAGTTCGGCCTGTCCATGGGACATCAAAGATGTAGAGAATGGCGATTCGATCCATCTGTGGGGTCTGCCTCCTGTGTGCAGGCGGGCAGGCAGGCGGGCAGGCGGGCGGGCGGGCGCGTTCTCGCATGTAACAGGAAACAAAGCAGCCCGAGTGAGATATTTCCCACAGCTAACTTATCATGTTCCATCAGAGGCATTTATGCTTCATGAACGTAGCTTTATTGCAGTACAGTCATTACAGGGAGCAAAAGGAATTTGTTATGGATCCCTGTTCCCCGGAATCATCCAGTAAATATTCAGGACTTTCCCCTTTGTTTCTTTGCAATCCAATACAACAACACATGTCATCATTATATATGCATATTTACACAGAAACAAATGTATTCCAAGGAAACATGTCTTTGGAAGTGGGTACAGATTCATAGTCTGTTCCAAAATTGTCTAACTACCACCTCTCTAGATCTCACAGTTAGTCTGATTTGATACCTACCAATGTTGAAACCAAATCCTTGAGATGGATGGATGGATGGATGGATGAATTGATTGTAAGCTAGAATTAGTATTCTCCTGATGCTGTGTTATGATGACATTTCATCAGTGTTTTCTTTTCCAGTTTAACTCTCAGAATCTGTTTGAGCTCAGGAGCAGCATGACATGTGGATTATGCGACTGCAGATTAATGTCCTCCTGGCGCCAGCCCCGTCTGACTTTCTAATTGAATGTTTGTAACGTGTGCAAGCTGCTACCTTGAGTAACACCCCAGTGAGAGTGAAACTTCCTGATGTTTTTTTCTTCACGGCTAACCCACCCCACCCCCGCCACCGGAACCACAGAGTAGAAATGGGGGGCAGAGGAGTAACAGTGTATGAGAGTGCTACCCCCTCCCTCAGTGAAAAGCCAGCCTGCTGATCTTTGGCCTGTAAAGTAATTATTGAATCCTTGATAGAGGTAATAATAGTTGATTCTCCGCAAATATAACCCCTCATTTTGTCATCTGTATTCATATATATAAATATATCGCTTGATAACACATTACACGTGGTGCTTTACGTATAAAACTCCGTAGCAAGACGTCCACAGATAAGTTGGACGGTATAGTGTGTGCGGCCGATTTAATGAGCCACAAATGAGAAGTAGTGCTTAAACAGTATAAAACTACAACTTTCCCTTCTGTTGATAAAGGGCGCAGCCATCTCGGATTCTGAACTCGGGATCCTCTGTGCTGCTCCGAGATATTTCTCGGATCTCCGAGAAACAGGAGCATGCATGTCGTTACTTCCGGCTTCAAAACTCGGAATCCGACTCGGAATACGAGTTCCCAGGGCAAATGGAATGCACCAAAACTGCCCGAAAATGGTTGACAGAGACATTTCAGGGATTTTGAGTCATTTTGCGCTGCAGATGGGTTAATTGCGTTAGTGTGTGTGTGTGTGTGTGTGTGTGTACAGTATATATATATATATACACACACACACAGCAACACCCTGTGGGCTTCCTGTGGCACGTTATCCTTACAGAAATCTTAGATGTCATTTTTGCAAATGAAGGTCTTCTGTCTCTTTCTCCATCTCTCTCTCTCTCTCTCTCTCTCTCTCTCTCATCCATTTCTTTTGCCTCTTATTACCATAGTGTTCTTCCTGCCTGCTTTCTTCCTGTGTATTTTCTAAGCACAGGAAAGGGAAAGGGAACAAGCGCTGCATGAATGATGAAGAGAATGAGCGCGATGTTATACCAGTAGGGTCCGGCGGGGATAAATGGCTGATTGTGTGTGTACTGGTCCAATGGCAAACAAACAGGTGACAGTGACAACAGAGAATGATGGTACAAAACAACAGTACTAAACCCAGACAGATGACACAGTGGAGAAGCTATCCAAATGACTTTCCTCCATCAAGTCTTCTCTTCCTGTAGAAGCCCTTCCCTTTAAACCATAAGGTCCTTAAAGAGATATTTATGTCTCAGTGTGCAGGTGAGAGCAGGTGTACAGGAGGGTACATTACACCGGTAATCTCAGGGGCAGAGGAGCAGCTAGACTTTCTGTCACCTTTGGGCCCCCTTACATTATATAATTTTATTAATCCTACATAATCAAGGGCCGCTGTGAAGTGCTAGGCTCCCGGAATCTGCCGGAGCATCCACGCCTGGCTGTTTTAGACTTAATGTACATCATTTCTCCGCAGTCTTTGTCTATTTTCACCCTCTTCTCCTGCTTCCGCGGCTCCTCCTCCCATCGGATCAGCTGTAACACAGAACCGCTTTGCATTATTAATCTGATATTAATGACTTTGTGACTCGCCAACCTCTAGGCTTCCATTAGTCACCTGTCGGGTGGAACCTAAATAATGATGACCACTCAGACCCCTGCAGAAGACGATGATGAGGGAGGGTAGGGGGAGCGGGGGTGGGGGTGGGGGGGCCACACTAATGAGAGCCGCGTGGCTCAAGTCATTAAAGCACATAGGGATGAAAAGAAATAAAATAATAATAAAGCAGACAGAGAGACAGACGGCGAACGGAAGGAAGAAGTGGGCTGTCAGGGAGGGAGGGGTAGAGAGATGTGGGGAGCTGACGGCACAGAGGTTCACTGGGGGAGCGAGGTGGGTTTGGGGATCCTCGGATGCGGAGCTGAAATGGAGGGCAGCGTGCTGTGCTTCTTCAGGTAGCTGCCGGCAAACCGCTCACCAGCATGTTAATTGGCTATTGGCTATTGGGTTACCCCCCGTGACAGCACGAGTCGGCCCTCCTAGTGATCGGATATCACTTCACAGGAGCTTCTCAGCTGATGATCCACATCTCGTCCTTTGCTCCTGCGACCCCCCCCCGCCCCCACCTGGGCTCTGCATGGTCCCCTCCAGAACCTCTGTAGCCTATTCCTGTGCCAGGTTGAGGTCAAGCAGATGGTCGTCAAGTAAACAAAACAACCATCGAACAAACCTGGGCCGCTTTGTAAGCACTTACTCTGGAAGCTGACCGGCAGCTAAAGGAAGCCACTCGACTGGTCCTCGGGAAGTCAGCCTAGGGCGTGGGAGTGCAGGGTGCAGGCTGGTGGCCCCTCTCGCAATGGGAGCGCCACGGCTCCACGGCCCCTCCCCCTGAAGTTTGGTGGTTGCTTAGCAACTAGCTCCACCACAGAATGGCCAAGAAACTTCAGCGAGGGTATGAAAACAAAGAGGACGTGGAATTGTCTCTCTCTGGCTGTCCGTGGGCGCCGGTGCATAAGCGAGTGTGCAGGGCTGCCGCTCCACCCCTCCCTGTTGTGCGCCGGTCAGCCATCTCATTATCGGGGCCTATGTTTACATCCCCCTGCCTCATTAACTGGCTCGCACAGACACCGAGGACACCCCGTCTGAACTCCTGTACCAATTTGTCTACCTCTGTTGCGCCACTTAACTCGATTTTTTTTCCGAAAGTTCCCATGGTTCACCAGGGCCAGTTTCCCACAGTTAAATCGGTAAAGAGTCTCCGGTCGAAGCCCTAGTAGAGATGCAGCCTGAAGAATGGAAGCTGGGATTCGATTGGGCAGAAGAGCAGCGAATTAAGGAAGGCCTTGAAAACACCCGACCAATGAGTGATCGGGATCCTGAATGACGACAGAGTATCTTACCGCTTTTAATGGCTAAGTGAAGTCTGTGGGGAAGGATGAGATGGACAGGTGCACAGTGACAATGGCAGTGGGAGCACTGGTACGAGAGACATGTGGTGAAAGCCAAACAGGTCTTGTGCAGATCATTGTATGTTGCTGGTGAGAACCAACAAAGCCAGGGGGTTGGAAGTACTGTATGAAACACGATTTGCTTCCCTCCTCCTTGTACTGTATGTGGAGGTCCGTGCCCCATAAACGTGGCTTAGATGGCTTGTATTTATGAGTGTGCGCCTACAATGGCATCCCACTCAGAATGTCCCCTGTCGTGTCCCCCATGCTCCCTGGGACAGGATCCAGGCTCAACATGCACTGAATGTTGGGTGGAGCAGCTCTGACGTGGAGTCGGCATTGCAACTTGCTAAACTAGGCAGGTTTCTCACATCCAGAAATCGCTCTGACCCAAAAATTACTGCTCGTCCGCCGTCGTGGAAATCACTTAGTGAGCAATCCACTGAGGTAGAGGCTGCGAGCTTCTCAATGGAGAAAACCTGCACTTCTGCCAAGTTGAAGTTTTTTTTTTTTTTCCAGCTTTGCTGTTCCTTTCATATGGAGGAGGGCTAGGAAACAAAATAAGGAAATGAAATATGCACAGGAGGGAGAGGAAAGAATAAGACGGATTTGGCAGAATGTTTTGACAGTAATTGTCGCCCACTGCTCCGGCAGCACGATGCGGCAGTCTCAGTAGGCCACGTTATCAGAACCGCCTTGCTCCTAATGCGATCGCTGACCTGTCGCTCCTGGGTAACGGCAGACTCACTGGATGACAGCGCTCTGCACGCAAAGGCATCTTATCTGACCACTTTGGTCATTCTGTGCCCTGTGAAGACCACCCCCCTCCCACATCACAGATCCTGTGGGGGTGACAGCAGCATGCACTTTCTTTGTGCCTCTTCACACAGACAACATGGAATTTGGGGGGTGGGTCTCTTTCCATCATGCACTTGTGCTACTTTACAGGTTCGATGTGTATATTATTATAATGCTTGGAGAGGGGTCCTAGTCTGACCTCATGATGGGAGCCAGATAAGTCTGAGCTTTGCAAGCAGATGAATCAGGAGAACCGGGATGTTTTGGGAAAATACTATTTATATGTCTGTGACATTCTTTTACGTGAGAAAGTATGCAAGGACTCCTCCAGATACCATTCTAGATTCACCTCCTACATTTAGACTCCCCTCTAGACTCGCCTCTCAGATCTATAGATGTTTTAGGTCTACTAGATCTTGAGCCCTTCCAGGACCACATTTTTTGAATTTGAACCAGCAACTTTGTGGTTCCAATGCCAGTTTTCCAATATCTGCTAGCCCTGCCAGATACTGTACATGACGATCATGCTGCCCTCTCACACCAGTTCTTCTCCACGCATGTCCATGCAGGTGAACGAGATTTACCATGACCAGTCTCTGGGAGCGCGGATCAACGTCGTCCTGGTGCGGATCATCATGCTTGGATATGGGAAGGTAGGTGGGCATGTTAGGGAGGGGTTGTATTTGGTGGCACCCCATTGGATGTCAGCTCGACCTTGTACCTCCTCTGCATTACCGCCGAAGGTCAGCAGTCCCCAGACAACCGCAGGGGCCAGAATTGCAATGTTAAATTGCCCCTTGTATTACGTGATCTCTTCTCATGGGTTCAAGAGTACTCAAGGTTATCAAAAAATGTTCTTTTTGAGCTTAACACGTATACTCAATCCGAAGTCCTTCCACCTCCTTCCACGCTCACACAGCTCCTCACTGAGACTGACAGCTTTCGGTTCCATTGGACTGGAGTGAAAGGGGAACTAAAAGCATGGGGATCCCAGGGGAGCGTTTTTAATGTCGCGCGCCTTTACAGTTCAGTGCCAGAGCTAACAGAATGCTGATGTTTTGCAGTCAGCTTGCCCCCAGTGAGCCAAAAAGAACAGAACATTCCACAGAGCCCAATAAAGTCAGCCAATCAATGATATCCCTGCTTTGTTCATTAATAATTCTGTGCTTTGGGCGAATTATTTTGTCTGTTTGACTCTTCTTGTTGTGACTCCCAAAACGAGCGCCTTCACTGCTGATATATGTGCGTGTATATATATATATTTTTTTTTCTTATGTATTTTTTATTTTTTTTTACTTCCACATCAGCCATTAATGCATGTACCATCAGCAGTTTTGCATGCAAGCCTTGCAAGTTCATGCAACTCCATTTGTGTGTTTTTTTTTTTTTTTTGGAATACAATTCACCAGCAAGACCACTCTCACTGTGTAGAGGACCGCTGGGTCTGCTGTGTGGGAGCTAGCCTGTGAACAGCTGTAGAGGATTGTGGGTAATATTACAGTACCCTGACACCTGGCACATACCAAGCTGAAAGGGGAAGCTGCAAGTATTCCTGACAGGCCAATCAGCTTGCTCCCCGGAGCACAGACACCTCCCCATCCTGCAGCCCTTGCCTGCCCCCAATCTGCATGCCACCCTGGACTTGGCTGTCCATTACCCTCAATCACCTTGGCAACATCATACTCCACCAGCTTGTCTATTAGTACTGCGACCGCAAGCACCTCTTACATCATTTTTACACCTGGGAGAACCTGTACATCTGGTCGCGGCGACCTCGCTTCATGTCAGCTGCGGGAATTAGCATGATGATGCTCTCAGCATCTTGGAGAACACACTAAAGTATACCTATGTGTTTGTGTGACAAAGACGGATGAAGAAGTATTTATGTTTATGGCCTGAGTAGTTCTTAATATTTATGCTTTGGCAATATTTACCAAATATGTTTCCTGCCAGTAAAAACATTTTTATTTTAAATTTAATAGATTTTTTGTGGCAGGGGAACAATTTATTTGTGTGTGCATCTGTTTGTTTTTCTGTTTGTCTGCGAGCGGGCAGGAGGGAATACACAAATGCCAGAGCATGTTTGTGTCAGGGCGTCTGGCCCCCACTGACAGCCCCGGCCCACCGTACGGCTGTTTGTCACTGCAACAGCACCACCTGCTGGCAGGAATGTACAAGTATTGCCAGTGCTGGCATTAGGCATGTGCTCATCTGAACGGTTTTCTTAAGATTTGGCAATGGATGGAGTTTTTCAGACAAACATCTGGAAGACATCTCTCACGCTCTTGTATTCCTGGCCCATCCAGAACCAACGTTCTCTTTCTGCAGCTGTTTCCTTTTATTTGCTAATACCATAGACCTTTTCGTTTGAAACAGAAATGACCCCGCCATTTGTCTATCACTCAGCAATGACGCAATGCCACAGACGGGTCCACTTGCCCTGTTACGCCAGCCTGGTATCACTTGGTGATGGGATGTCTTCCCCCTGTCCAGTCTAAGAGCCTGATCGAGCTGGGGAACCCGTCTCAGAGCCTGGAGAACGTTTGCCGCTGGGCCTTCATGCAGCAGAAGCAGGACACGGGCGACGCCGAGTACCACGACCACGCCATCTTCCTCACCCGCCAGGAGTTCGGGCCCACGGGCATGCAGGGTAGGATGTGCTTGCAAACCCCCCCACCCCCATTAGGTGGCCACACATAGATGCAGGTCAGAGAGCCTCATGCACCAATATGCAGCAGCTACCCCAGAGGCTTTTAAAAAGCATCATAGGGGCTGTTTGTAAGATGTCGGCGTATGAGCATTAATAAGCAGACTAGGCTTGCAAAAGGATACAAGAAATATGTTACTGATGATGATGGTGATGAGAGTGATAGTGATTATGATGATAAGGGCGATGATGATGATAGTGATAAGGTTGGTGATGATGGATGATGATGGTGATGAGAGTGATGGTGATTATGATGATAAGGGTGATGATGATGAAGATGATGGTGATAAGGGTGGTGATGATGGATGATGATGGTGATGAGAATGATGGTGATTATGATGATAAGGGTGATGATGATGATGATGGTGATAAGGGTGGTGATGATGGATGATGATGGTGATGAGAGTGATAGTGATTATGATGATAAGGGTGATGATGATGAAGATGATGGTGATAAGGGTGGTGGTGATGATGATGATGAGAGTGATGATTATGATGATAAGGTTGATGATGATGAAGATGATTGTGATGAGAGTGATGGTGATAAGGGTGGTGATGATGATGATGGTGATAAGGGTGGTGATGATGAAGATGATGGTGATGAGAGTGATGGTGATTATGATGATAAGGGTGATGATGATGAAGATGATGGTGATAAGGGTGGTGATGATGGATGATGATGATGAGAGTGATGATTATGATGATAAGGTTGATGATGATGAAGATGATGGTGATGAGAGTGATGGTGATGAGAGTGATGATGATTATGATGATAAGGGTGATGATGATGAAGATGATGGTGATATGGGTGGTGGTGATGATGATGGATAATGATGATGATGAGAGTGATGATTATGATGATAAGGTTAATGATGATGAAGATGATGGTGATGAGAGTGATGGTGATAAGGGTGGTGATGATGATGATGGATGATGATGAGAAGGGTGATGAAGATGATGATGAGGGTGATTATGATGATGATGATGACAACGACGATGATGATGACAACGACGATGATGATGATGATGAATTTGATTGATGATAGCTATTGATGACGGTGATGACGATGACAATGGTTAATAACAATGATGGACATGGTAGCATGCAGAGCAGATGTGAGGCTGCTTCACCAAGGAACTGCCCAGTGCCCTGTTTGTCCTCAGACCTCAGGATAAGCACTGGCCCCCAACCTCACCCCAGTTCCTCTCTCTCTCAGGGTACGCCCCCGTTACTGGCATGTGCCACCCAGTTCGGAGCTGTACCCTAAACCACGAGGATGGCTTCTCCTCCGCCTTCGTCGTGGCACACGAGACCGGGCATGTGTGAGTGTCATGGATTCCTGTCATCTCTCCAAGAAGCACACTCACTCACACACACACGTTTGCATTGCTGTCTGTAGGCGGATTATCCACATGTTATTAATTATTACCATCCCCCAGCCAAAAAGAATATAAGAATGAAAACGCATAACAAATAAAAAGCATTTGTTTTGACCAGATCCCCCAAAGTTTATTAGTAACTATTTCTCTGGCGATGTTTTCTCAAAATTTGGAGAAAAAGATTGTAATACCTGTACATTAATGTACATAGAGAAATGTACATACTTGCTACGCATTGGCATTCACACATGTATGTCCAATGTGTCATGTCTATATACAGCCTCACACATTTCCCTGGAGACAGATGCAGATTCACACATTGCTTGTCCCCATCACAGGCTGGGCATGGAGCATGATGGCCAGGGGAACCGCTGTGGGGATGAGGTGCACATGGGGAGCATCATGGCCCCACTGGTGCAAGCTGCCTTCCACCGCTTCCACTGGTCCCGCTGCAGCCAGCAGGAGCTCGGCCGCTACCTGCAGTGAGTCAACCGCCAGTCCCTCCTTTTAGGCACCACCCCTCCTCTAGTGTATTGACCCCTCACTTTAAGTCACGCCCCTCCTACAGCATATTAACCCCTCACTTTAAGCCGCACCCCTTCTCTAGCATATTAACCCCACTTTAAACCACGCCCCTCCTACAGCATAACCTCTCACTCTAAGCCACACCCCTCCTCTAGTGTATTGACCCCTCACTTTAAGTCACGCCCCTCCTACAGCATATTAACCCCAGTTTAAGCCGCACCCCTCCTACAGCCTAACCTCTCACTCTAAGCCACGCCCCTCCTACAGCCTAACCTCTCACTCTAAGCCACACCCCTCCTACAGCATTTTAACCCCAGTTTAAGCCACGCCCCTCCTACAGCCTAACCTCTCACTCTAAGCCACGCCCCTCCTACAGCCTAACCTCTCACTCTAAGCCACACCCCTCCTGCAGCATTTTAACCCCAGTTTAAGCCGCACCCCTCCTACAGCATTTTAACCTCACTCTAAGCTACACCCCTCCTACAGCATATTAACCCCACTTTAAGCCGCACCCCTCCTCTACCATGTAAACCTCTCCTTTTAAGCCACACCCTCGTCTGGCATATAAAACCCTCCTTCTTATCCACATCCTTTCTCTGTCTCCCATAACTTCGTCTTATTTTCTGTATTCACTAAAATTCTTCCATCTTTCACCTCTTCTGTAACGCTACCGCAAGTGGTAGCCAAGTTAATTTGTGTCTTTGTTACTTTACCCTTTATATACAGCTCAACATTTACTGCAACATAGTACGTACTTTGTACATTCCGTCCAGTCAATAAGCCTTTTTGTTACTGATCCAGTTTGTTATGCAGTAGAGCTGACTGAATCGCTGAAACTGGTTTGCTGGTGGCCTGCAGCTAAAAAATATCTCACACTCTTTCTAACAGCTCCTACGACTGTCTCCGTGATGACCCCTTTGACCACGACTGGCCATCGCTGCCACGGCTACCGGGGATCCATTACTCTATGAACGAGCAGTGCCGCTTTGATTTTGGTGCCGGCTACATGATGTGCACCGCGGTGAGTCCCCAACACCCCCCCCCCCACTACCTGGTGTGGACTTCAATGCTCTGCCCCCTCTTTTTCACTCCACCTCATTCAGTAAACAATATACATCCACAATCTACGTATAAACCTTGAGAACCCCATTCACCATCTTAAGACACATAGTAATGATTATGGACAGACTTGAATTCTCTAGTACTTCATTCTAGACCTATCTATGGCCAAACATTTGTAGATGTATGAATTACTATGTAAGTATGCCTTCAGGGTATGTGTGTGTAACTTTTAGTGAGGGTCTGAGAGGCGCACTATGGAGCCATCCAGCAGGGGGCGATGGAGAATGAGCACTTGGAATTTTAAGTGTACCATGTATACAATGGCACAAGAGAGAAAAAGTAAGAAACACATTTGCATCGCAGCATTCGCTTTCTCCCATCCAAAAAACAGGAACAGAACCCACAGATACTCATGAAGCCAGGCCGTTTCTGTAACTGTCAGGGCGTTGATGGGTAAACACAGAGGAGCTGAGCTCAGCTGAGCGACAATCACAGCTGAAACGGAAAGCACCTTCTAGATAAACTCTTGTGCCTTGAGCAGAATGCCAGTTGGAATGCTATGCTTTATTCTCTTGTCAAACCATTTTCTTAGCTGCAAAAGGTGGGCCAATCAGGAACACAGGTAAGTCAACACCCTCCGGAACGCTGTGGCCCCTCTTGTTTTTTACTTATCGATATCTATATTATCGTTCTTTCTTTCAATGTTGTCGTCCATTGCGTATTTCGTTTTCCCATTGTCATTGGCCACACGTTCTGCAGGATTCTAGATAGCACTTCTGCGGCACCCCCTAGGGCTGCATCCTCATTCTGTGTACAAGTTATTATGACGATCTCCCTCTAGCTCATAGCTCATCAGCTGCTGTTTTCAAAACATAATTCCTGTTCAGGCAAGCCAGTAGTCCACACACCTGCATATGTAGGTCAGAGTTGGTGGCATGTAGATACACTCCCAGGGGCCAAGGTTTTGGGATCCTGCAGTTCTTGTCGGTCAGCTTCCTGAGCTGACATTATGAGCGGCGGTCCCGGTGTGAGCCTTGTGGAACACCTCCAGTCAGTGCACCAGCAGTATTGCTGGTTGAGGGGAGACCTCTTCCCAACAGAGGCGAGTAGGTGGTCCTTTTAGCATGGACCTCCTCCCGGTCCATTGTTTTATAGCCCCTTCACTGTTCGTTGTACATCTAACGAGTCGTATCAGTATTGCCATACCAGACTCCTCTCCATTCTTCATCTGCATGCATTGGCTTCCTGTCTGTAGCTTACTGAAACAGAGCCATGTGGTTGTATGTTCAGATGGGTTAGTCTGTGATGTTTCTATATATCATGTACCTGTATTTTCTGTCCAGTCCTATAGCACTCTCTGGTGTCGATCTTGGGTACTTCACAGTGGCGGTGCCGTGTTAATATGGGTCTCAGGGTGCATCATAGGTCTGCAAGCCTGAGAACAAGGCTGTCTCTCTTCCCTCCAGTACCGCACCTTCGATCCCTGCAAACAGCTGTGGTGCAGCCACCCTGACAACCCATTCTTCTGTAAGACCAAGAAGGGCCCGCCCATCGATGGCACCATGTGTGCACCCGGGAAGGTACCCCCCCCCCCCCCACTACTGAAGCTGAAACATGCATTTGACCGTATGCTCTCTCATCCTCAGATACACCATCCCTGACCTGTGTGCTCAGCTGCACGCATCCATGATAACACACTTCTGCTCTCTGCTAACTAGGGCTGGGCAATAAATCGATAAAATATTGTATGGTGATTATGATATTGTCATCATTTTGAATATCATGATGTAGCCTAAACACTTGTTTTCTTGCACAATTAGCAGTTATACTGCACTGTATTTACAGAAATTCCATTAAGGTATAATTTGGCATAATTTATCATTATATCTGTCACATGCTCCATAATTATTAGTAAAACAATTTGTCATATTTCTGTTTTCTGCATATGAATTTTAGATTATTGTGATAAACACTGATACCTCTGAAAATATTGTATAATATTTAGGGCATATTGTCTAACCCTAGTCAAACCCTTTCCCTGGAACGAACTGCGAGGCAGTCAAAGAAAAAAAATGTACTATTGGTATTTTTCTAGTGTTATGCCCTACAACAAAAATGTATTTATGGATGACTTATTTGTTAAAATTAGATTTCACTTTGCAGTCCATTCAGTTTGTCACATTTTTCATGTACTCAATCTATTTAAGGGCAATTCCAAGGGGATTTTAAGCACATATGGGGCATCGAAGTAAGGAAATAAATTCTCATATTGTGAGAATTTTCGATATCGTTTGAAAAAATTATTACAATGACATATTTTGCTATATCGCCCAGTCCCACTGCAAAGGCTTATAGACATATCTACTCTGCACTGACACACTTTCCCAGCAATTACACTCAGTAACTCTAAATCAGTCCTGTTTTCTCCACCTAAGATGTTTTCCCCTGCTACACATAACCTAATGGAATGGCGTCTTTCCCACCTCCCAGCACTGTTTCAAGGGTCACTGCATCTGGCTGACACCAGACGTCCTGAAGCAAGACGGCAACTGGGGCATGTGGAGCAAGTTTGGGTCCTGCTCCCGAACATGCGGAGGAGGTGTGAGGTTCAGGACCCGAGAATGTGACAATCCAATGTGAGTGCTGGGGTTCGGGGTGCCTTTTATCTGGCACTTCATGCCAGTAGTAGCCCTGAGTGGTCTTGGAGAGCTGGTCTGGGCTGAAGTGTCTTTTCAAGGGGCAGGAAAAATTTGTCGACCCCAATGGGGGTTCCCCTCGGTAAAATTCACAAAGGAGCACTTAGGACTCAGAAGAGAAGCACTTTCAGTTGCTTGTGCAAATGGGGCAGGTGCTCAAGCCTCCCCCCTCCTTGCCTGTTGCTGGTGGCAATTTATAATTAAACTGGTTTCATGGGCCATTATAAATGCTGATTTAAATGCCAAATCTGTTTAATACTTATCAACTATTAAATAATTGAGGCAAATATAATGTATGATGATAATTTATGATTAGACATATGGCAGTATATTTTTAAGGTTTAAAATATTCTTTAAGACTCATTTCCAGTTGAGATCTCAAAAAGCATTGGAGTCCTTGAAATATTAAGACTGGTTGAACCATGACCTGAACTGGAATGGCAGCTAAATGTTAAATATTTAGGTATGTGGCTCTTTCAGGAACCGTCATGCAGAGGGTCCAGCGGCAGCTCGAATGTCACATCTCAGGACAGAACACTCTTTACTTCCTACCTGTATGACAGGCCATTATGTTCTGCCTACCTTTACTTCTAGCTGTTAATTTAAAAAGGAAACTCATTTCTAATTAAAGGAGCCAAAGTCTTAAAAGTTGCATGACAGAAGTTGTAAAGTGTCATGAAAGTCAAGCCTTTGAAAGGTAATTAAAGTTACAGTAACGTCATTTTTTTTTTACTACAAATGGCACATATACAGTATGTGTCACGCTATTTTACGAAAAGGTTTTTGGAGTTCTTACTTTGTCCTGCCTTGGAGTGACACTGATGACAGTTATCTGCTTCATCTCTGAGAATTTCATTGATGCGCTTGTGTAGAAAAGGTTGAAGCCATCTTTGCATTTTTCCCACTATTGGGCCATGTTATTAAGCAGGTTGTGTAAATTTGTCAGCAAAGCAAATATTACAGGATGCATGATGTACTCTGGAAAAAATTAAGAGACCACTCTATATTTTTGAAAAATCTGCATTTTTAAATCCTGGTTTAATCTTGGTTCTACTGGCAGAAGGCTACACTGCACGGCAAGTTTCTTCCAGGCTGGAAGTTTCTATGACTGCATTACACAAAAACAAAGTGGAGCAGGAGACGCTGGCAATAATGAAGAACCAGCCAGGGGGAGGGAAGAAGCAACTTTCTGATGTCAGAGATGACAGTCAGCTCATCCAGTGGTGCCTCATAAATCGGAGGATGACCTCAAGTGACCTTCAAAAAGAAGGGGGAACATAACAGGCTCCTAGAAGCAAGTCTGAAGACCCATAAAGCAAGGAAGAAGCCCTTCATTGATGAGAAGCAGGGAAATTTTGCTGTGGTCTCTTAATTTCTCCAGTGCTGTATTCAACTGTAGAGGGGTAGACATTAATCATTAAGACCCTAGGTGATAGCAAATTAGTGCTTGAAATTGCTTCGTATCATGAAGACATACGTGGCAGAATCGAAAAGGTCAGATAAGGATAACGTTAAAGTTATTTCACAATGTAAATTCTTATTCAATCAAATGCTAGCAGAAAAGCTCTTAGCCAGTAGTAAAGAGATATTTGACAACGTTGGCATCACCAAAGTAAAATGACCAGCAAGGTGCAGGATGTTCCAGCACTTTGGAAAATGTGCCACGTCAGATTTTCAACCTCTGTTGAAGGGAATCCACAGATACTTTACCGATGGGCACTTGATGGACCTGACGGATGGAGCGAGGGGTGTGTCAGAAATTACAAACCTCGTCCTCTCAGATTGAAATGCTAGCAAGGATGTAGCGGTGTGATGCTTTGGGCTGGAATAATTGGGGCCAAGTTGATTAGTCATTGGCAAGTTCCTGTAGGTGTAAATTTGACTGCGGATGCTTATATTGAATTTCCAAACAACGTCTTTGTGCCATGCTACAAATGTAAGGCTCTGTAATTAAGATGAAAAACGACGGTCATGCATGACAATATTCCATCACATGCTGCCAGAAAGAGAGAAGAGTACTTCATGAAATCAGGCTTCAGAAATTGCCGTATGATGGAGCAGCCAGCATCTTAACCCAAACTGGATCCCACTGAGAACCTGTGGAGTATCATCAAGCAACAGATTTATGCCTCAGTTCCCTTCAAAGGACAAGCTGTGGGTTGTTATCTTAAGCATAAGCGACAAGTACGATGCCCACAGTAATTCATAATCTAACCAAGACAGTGGATCAAAGAGTTATCTTGGTCATATCTGGTCATATAAGTTTTTTATTTGTGGCAACTGCTATGTATGAATCATTACATAGACGTTGCTGTCATTTCTAAATAACCATTGTTATAAATGTATGTTTTTGTAATAACCACCTTTGTTAAACTACTGTTTTCAGCGTTATTGCACTGGTTTGCATAATAGTGGGCAGAGTGGAAAAAGTGCATATTTTGGTAAATTATCAATATTTCCCCAAATAATACATAACATTTGGCATGATTTTCACCACTTATTTATATAGATAATAGACAGATATCGGACAACTCATGTTCTGCATAATACCATGACACAGGGTGTAAACAGCCATCAAGGGTGATTCCAGGATTTGACCTAGGGCTGAGCCCTCAATGCGAATGTAGGATATTTGTAAAAATATATAAATGTATTTAAAGTGATCAGGCTCAACCCCTTTCTGGGTTGTATAACATATGTGTAATACAATAGATGTATATAAAAAATATGCGTACTGTATGCAATACCTTTCATACAACTAGTGCCATGGTTAGTTCATGTTTCTACAGCCCCACATGTTTCTATGTACCCTGCCTCATTCCCTCTGTATACTTAAGAGCAAAGATTCTAGGAAGCTTCTCACGAGCGTCTCTGTGAGATTCAGTTCGAACCAAGCAATTGTAAAGCAAAAGGGAGGATTCAAAGAAGAGTTTGCTGCTACGCTTCCACTTGACAGTCATTTCTCACACAGAAAAGATCCCAAGATTTATGGGGTTTCAATGGATTTGGGAAAGAATGACAAAATTTTTAGGGGGACTGAGAGAAAGGATGAGTGCTAAATCCCCCCTAAATAGGGACTAGCACTGCCTGGGGTAACAGTTATTAATCCAGTCATAAAAATATGTGTTTAAGTTTCAGTGGGTGAGCAGGGGCCTGTATCATGAAGCAGGATTTTATACTTAACGAGATAGCTTGTCGGATTTAAGTTAGTCTGGGCTGAACATAAGTGAACAAATATAAATTTCATTTAAAAGGGGATACCTTAAATCTGACAAATTATTCAAACAAGCAAGAAATCAGACCCAACAAGTACAACTATTATCTATTTAAGCTTTTATTTATTTTTGCCAGCATAAAGCTAGTTTTTGACAATACTGATACCCCCCCGATTCTTCTGACCCTCCCATAAACAGCCCAGCAAATGGGGGACGCACCTGCTTCGGTCCAAACTACGAGTTCCAGCTGTGTAACACGGAGGAGTGCCCTAATCCCATGAGCGACTTCAGAGAGGAACAATGCCGAATGTGGGACCCCAAGTTTGAGTACCAGAACAGCAAGCACCACTGGCTGCCCTTCGAGCACTCAGACCGTAAGTACCCTGAGTGAGCAGAGCCAGTGCTGGGGGAGCTTCTATACTAGAATTGGTGTTGGAGTGGGATGGGCATGAGTAGGGCCTACATGTGATGGCCACTAGCCTTTTTCTGTAATGTTTGTCCCAGCAGCAGTGGTCATGTGGTGGTCAAGAGCTGGTAGCTTAGCTTGTCATGGTGTGTTTCATACTGTGACCATTGGTATGAGGTTCCAAGCAGAAGAAGTAAGGCAAGAGTGCAACCGAGTCCAAAGGCGGGCTTCTCGACAACTCCGATGAGACCGGCTGGGTAGAGAAGACACCATCCTTCATTCCCAGCTATCCCATCCTCCACCAGAGCTCAAGTGTCTGCCCTCCTTCCTTACTTTCCCACCACATCTGCTGACTGTCACTCTAATCAACTTAATTAAACTATTAAGGAATTAAGTAGCTTGACAAATCTGATTCCTTGCCCGAGTGTCTTGATACTCATAATGCCAGGTGGTTTAAATATGTGACGTGATACATGGCAGAGAGAAATATAATCACCTGAATGTCCATCTCACCCTTTCCATCACGCTGGAGTTTAACAGCTGAATATCCATAACACCATCTGTACTATTGGAAAATGTCTGTTTTGGTGCACAAACCATCCATCTTTGTGAAGGTTCTCAAATAGCAATAGCTACAGCCTTTCAAATAATTCATTTTGAGCTGATGTTCATGCTGTTATTTAGCAAACAGATTCTTGGAAGTTCAAGCTATTGCAGCTGATCAGAACATTTGAGTCTACATATGTCCAAAGAGCAGCATGTCTCAAACCTCATTCATGAGCTAGTTTTCCTATCAGCTCCATCACCCAATACGTAGTAGGATCCGTCACAAACATACAAATACACATAGACATAGAGAGAGATAGGCCTACACAAGAACTGAGAGAGGGGAAACCCAGCCTGTTACACAAGAATGGTGGGGGGGGGGGCTGGCCTGTTACACAACAACTGAGAGAGAGAGGAAGAGAGGAAACCCAGCCTGTTATACAACAACTGAGAGAGAGAGAGAGAAAGAGAGAGAGAGATGTGCCCTGTATCTTGGACCATAAATAAGCAAAGTATGACAGAAACCTGCCCCGAACCCACCAATCCACTCCTTCAGCGCTAGAACGCCATCCCAAGTCTTGCACACCTCAAAAAAAGATGCCCCAAAGTTTAATCTTGCTCACAAAATGGCCGTCCCCCTCCACAGAGGGATCAATATGTGCCACGTTTGTTTGTAGCCACAGCCCACTCTGTGTCTTCCAGCAGCCCGAGGGGGAAGCACCCAGCACCAAAATACCCAACCACCTGGAAGCCGCCAACCCCTGCCAGAGTCTCCATGTCCAGAACTTTCACGCTAAGTTCATAAAGAATCTCCCTGGAGGCATCTGCAAAGTCCCTCAAATGCTCAAATGCCGCACTCTGAAGGAGAGCAATAGGACATCATTCTCCTGATGACCCTTCAGTGCCACCACAACATGCAAGGGCAGGAAATGCTCTCAGATCTCCCTCTCCATCCACTGCAGTCCAACAGAACCCCGCAGGCAATGGTGAAGAAATGTTATTGAGGATTGTCTGAATGAGACAGCTGAACCAGAACCCGTCTCAGTACACAAGATAGAAACAGATTTCTAGGTTCCACCCTATCTCAAATGCCTAAGCTTTGAAATGTCTGCTGCCACTGGGTGTGGCCAAAAAAAAAAACAGATGCTAAAGTTCTAGTCCCAATCAGGAGGTTGACACGAGCCAAAGATGCCCCCTCATACAGCTCTCCAATGCCTGAACATCCCTGTCCCCCCATACAAGCACAGCTACATGGTCAGCATAAGCAGACAAAGCAATATGCCTAAGGCCCTGCAGCCCAGCCATCTGCCGACACAGCAAGGGTTCAATGGCCAAGCAGTACAGTTCCCGAGACAATGAACACCCCTGCCTGATACCCCTCCGCACCCTGATAGGGCAACTCAGTTCCAACCCCACCTTAAGCATCACCGATACATTGGCATACAATAGGCATATCCAAGACAGGAAAGTCAACCCCATGCCAAAAGCTGCCTGAGTGTTAAAATGGTATGTATGACGGACTCTGTGAAAGGCCTTTTCCTGATGAATCGAAATAACCCCCAAATCGAGGGAGTCCAGTCTACACAGGGCCATCACATTGCACATTACAGACAGATCGTCCATTATGGTGCTCCCAGGAACACAATAGGCCTGACCAGGGCGCACTAAATCCTCCATGCAGCACGCCAATCTATTAGAGAGGCATTTCGAAGGGATCTTATAGTCACTGCACAGCAAGGACAAGGGCCTCCAGTTGGACAACAACCCCAAGTCCCCCTTCTTGGCCCTCATGTAGCTAGTCAGCAGCTGTCCAGCCCTCAAAATCCACTTAAAGACCTCAACAATAACAACAAGTGCCAGGAATGTTCATAAAATTCCACTAGCGGGCCATCGATGTCTGGTGCCTTCCCAAGCGACAAACGCCGAACTGCCATTGTTAGTTCCTGGAGCCGAGGGCCTCCCTCTGCTCCATCCCCAGGTTGACCAATCCTGTCAGCACCACCTCCATAACAGGCTCTGTATTTCTCTGACTGTCATCTTCTCCAGACTGGAAAAGAAAGAACTCACAGCATACATATCCCTAATACGAGACCTCTTAGTTCGGACTAAAGCCCCCTTCATCCGGTCATGGAGCATGGAGCTCAAGGCCTTCCTCTTCCCGTCCAATACACCCACAGTGTCAACAGTGTCACCAGCAACTCTCAAATAAAACGATGTCCCTCTCCAAATCCCAAAGGACATTGCTAACCACTGAGCAGCATACTGCTGGCAAAAAACCCTGACCTGAACCTTACCCACATCCCACCAGGATGCCAAATCCCTAAAGTGCTTCTTTTCTATCCTAACTATCCTTTTTCTATCCTATTTCTATCCTATTCCTTTCTATTCTAACACAGCAAAGCTCCCCAAAAAACCCATAAAGAAACAACTTAGTGTCAAAGTGGCAGTAATATTTAGTCAAGACCTTCAACAAAAGCAAGCCAACCCATACCAAGTGGTGGTCAGAAAAGGTGCATGGAGTTACATGTGCCATCAAAATCTTATTCCGCCCAAACTTCGACACATAAATCCTATCCAGCCTAGTGGCGCTGACCCAACCAGTCGACACTTTCAGCCAGGTGTACCGTGTCACCCCTCTGTGCTTCTCTCGCCCCACATCCGCCAAGCCCCAATCCCACACCAACCAATGAAGAGCCACCCCAGAGGCCATATGAGGCTCCTCCCCAGTCCGACCCAATGTGAAATCAGTGGTGCAGTTCCAGTCACCCCAAACATCACAACCATACCATTGCAGAGCATTACCTCAGCTTTGCAAAACTTGCATCCAATCCCATACGTCGACAAATAAATGTTTACAAACAGGAAAGCGGTCCCCTCAATCGCAGCTTCAACCAGCTGCAGCCTGCTGCACTCCACCTCCCGCAGCTGCACACCTATCATCCCCACCCTTTCATTAAACAGAATGGTGACTTGTATGAGTGCCATGACTCATAAACAGCCCACCCTTGCACCACAACCATAAGTCCACCTCATTGTCTCCATCACTATGAGTTTCCTGCAGAAGCAGCGCATCTAAATGATGCAGTGTCGCAAATTTAGCCAGTTTTGCTTGCTTATCCTTATCTCTTCTACCATTAATGTTTAATGGAGCTTCTCCATGGAACTGGTTAAGGAATAGAAGAAAGAAAGGAGGACAGAACAGTGCAAGATCTAGAAAAAGCTCATTTGTAAGTAATCTGCATCACAGCCCTGCCACAAATTTTCTCAAGTGATGCCTCGTTTGCATAGTCAACTCCTCAAAACTAGCTGCCTTTCGGGAATGTCGTACCGAAGCCAAAAACTTCTGAACATCCAGGAAGAAATCCATAAGTTGGACTTCCCGTAGCTCTCATCCAAATACTCATTAATCTCCTGCAAGGAAAACAGCTGCTGATCATCCCCCGCCTGCGAGGCAAGTTCCAAAACGTCCGAGAGACTGACATCATCTCACCCAGCCTTGCAGCCTCATCGGGAATGGCTGGAATAACACTCACAGCACCCCACAATCTGTCACCGACTTCAGGGGGAGGTCTGACATCGCAGGGAGAATCAGGAGGCCCATCACCCTGCCCCGTATGGACCTGTCCCTCCCAAACTTCATCACCACCAATCCTCACTGCCTCAATGAGGCAAGTCCTGTGCAGACAAATGATCCTCTTATGGCCAACGACGCTAAAACACCGCAAATTGCCCATACTAGCATATTAGATGTATGACCTACCCTCACAAAGCACCCTAAAAGAAATGTCCAGCACCAGGTCATTCAAAATCATAATCACCTGCCGCCTAAAAGACACCTCATGTTTCAACGCTGGAGTCTTGCAATTCAACGGAACTTCCTTAAAATCCCCGATGACCCTAGTAAAACAGGAAAGTTCCTATGCAATTTCCGCATCAAGAACAAAAGGCAGCACATTCAAAACCGTAACTCTCACAGTTGGCAAGACTAGTGGTACAACCACAATATAACCATCTGGCACTGTAATCGCACTCACAATCAACCAAGTTCATATCCTTCAAAAATACCACCACTGCCAGATTCATAGGCAACTCTCGCCCACACTTAACAAGATATCCTCCACGGTTACCTCGGGATCAATCTCACACCTGACCCTGTGCCGCAGTGAAAAAAACTCACACCCATCAAAATGCAATGCCATCACAGCGAACCAAAACAAGAAAACACAATTGTGCAGCACATAGGAACTCACCAATCACCAAAACAAAGAAAACACAAAAGTTGGAAAAAACACGGAAGTCTCGCACCAGCTACAGGTGGTTACCAAGTACTCTCACATACTCCACCCACTCCCAGCAGTCATTCTGACAGAGAGAGAGAGGGGGGAAACCAGCCCTGTTACACAGTAACTGAGACAGAGAGGAAACCCAGTCTGTTACACAAGAACTGAGAGAGAGAGGAAACCCAGCCTGTTACTCAACAGCAACAGAGAGAGGAAACCCAGCCTGTTACTCAACAGCAACAGAGAGAGGAAACCCAGCCTGTTACACA